CTGCTGAACACACACACTTGCACATACATATACACACTCTGTGCACATACACAGGCTGGGCCTGGGAACATCTCGTCACACCATTCATTCTGGTCATTTCTTGCAAAGGCATCCCAGCCTGGGGGCCGTTGGGGGACTGAGGGCAGGGGGATATGGCCATAGGGCTCAGATGGACTGGGAGGAGGGGGGGAGGGTGATGCATTAATTAATGGCTCCGTTAATTAATGTCACGTTGCTTGTTGCTTTCTCAGTGTGTGTGTATGGTCCATGCCCACTGCTGGTGCCAGGGTGGGCACCCGTGCTGTACACCCAGCCTAGATGCCAGCCATGTCTTGCAGGGGCGTGTGTGTAACTGTAGTGTAGTCAGGTGCTCAATGGAGAATATAAAAATAAAGAAAGAAACATATACAGATAAATTAATATATATTTTAAGTTTAAAAAACAGAAAAGCAGACAAAGCAATCCCCATCAGGTAGCTGTCAAACCCCCAGCTGGGTCTGATCCTTCTCATCACCCACCCGACCTGGCTGTCCCCTCACCTCGGGCTCGGGGGATCTGTGGGGGACTGGGGGGCCATTTCCTTTTATCTGCCCTTTTTTTTTTGGTTGTTCTATTTTGTACAGACAAGTCGGAAAAACAACAGCGACAAAAAAGACAAGAAACTTTGTAAAATATTGTGTGTGTGATTCCTTGTAAAATATTTTCAAATGGTTTATTACAAAAGATCAGTTATTAAATAATGTTCATATTTTCACTTCAAATGGTTCCCATACACTGTCTCTGCCCTGGAGTGAGGACTGGGTGGCTTGAAGACAGGTGGCCATGACCTCAGAGCCCCACTTACCACTTAATTGGGAGTGAAGGCCATAGCAATCCAGGTCTCTGGTGGGTGGAGGGCATGACGCTTCCCAGGCCTCCTAAGTGCTAGATCCTTGACATCCTTTGTCTTGTATAATCTTCTCAAAAGCCTCCAGGAAAAGCTGTCTTTAAAAAAAAAAAAGTCTCCCAGAGGCTCAAGGCCAAGACTGTGGAGGAAAGAAGATGGAGATGAGATGCAGGCTTCTAGCCAATAGGATCAGACTACCAGGGCCTACGCAGGTCCTCCAGGTGGAGCAAAGAGTGAATACCTGGCCCAAGTCCATGACTTCGTGCCTGAGGGCCAGTGCTGCTGTCCAGAGGAGACCAAGGTCTGGCCCACCCACAAGCATGATGGCTGCTCCTTCCCAGCCCAGGGGAGGCCTGGTGCTGTCAGTGGCCACTGCTGCTCACGCTGGAACACAGCTCTGAGTCCATTTCAGCAAATCTCGGGCCTCCCTCTGGCAAGCCCTACACCCTTGTTCATTTTAATCCCAACTCTCTTAATAGTCAATCCTATTCTGTGTGTGACCTTCGAGTTTCTTTTCAACAGGAAAGACTTATAACCACCAGTGCAGAGATTTCCCAGTACTACTGACACTTGCTCTCTTACAGTACACACTCCACACTATGCACTCACCCTGTGCTGAGTACTCATCACACATTAGAGTTGGATATTAGTTTATCTCCATACCGCAGATGAGCAAATTGAGACTTAGGAGAAATCCTTTCTCCCAGATGCAAGAAACCAGCAAAGGTTTTGGAAATGAGGTGGCCTGTGGCTTGGGGACCTTGGATGCTAAATAAATAACCCTCTGGAAGGGTTGGCCACAGAGCAAAGCCTAACTAGCAACCCCTGAGGCAGCTCCCGTGCTCTGCAACAGCCCCAGAGGTCCTGGGGTAGACCTGCCATGTAAAATACAGAACATCCAATCAAATTTGGAATTTCAGATAATCAATGAATATTCTTCAGTATGTTCCCAACATTGCATGGGACATAACTATGCTAAAAACTGAAGACATGCTTATACTGAAAAAATTATTCATTGTTTAACTGAAATGCTAATTGAGTGCCCTGTATTTTGATTTGCTATATCTGGCAACCCTACCCTGGGGTGGCATGCAGCAGGAACCCAGAGCCCAAAGATAAAGGAAAGCAACATCTTTTGTGATCTGGAAGGCTGTGCACACATCGGCAGTTGTATTGAGATCAGTGGCGGAAAGGAAGGGATTCTGCACTTTATAAATGTACTTTGTCATACATTTATTTTAATTATATGCACATTTAAAAAAATAACTCAATATTCAAAAAACAAAAATCAGTTTTGCACAGGACACAACCTACCTGAAGCCACCGTTGCAGTGAGGTGGAGGCCCAAGGCCAGCCTGACCCAAGTTTGTGGAGAGACCTCTCTTCATCAGGATCAGCGATTGACTGTGGTGAGGAAGAGAGTCACTAAGAGAAGTCCAGTCTCACCCCTTTGGGGGCTGGAGATCCGAGTTCCAGTATGGGCTCCACCTCATTTGTAACAAGGGCAGCCTGGGCAACACACTCACTGAGCACACAGGGTGGACTGGCATTGTACACACCAGTCCCCTTGGATCCTCACGGTAGGTCCTGTCATCATCTCCATTTTACTGTCCATGAAACTGGGTTTCAACAAAGTTCGGGAATTTGGCCATTGTCACACAGCCGCCAAAACGCAGAGCAAGAATTCCAACCTGGGTCAGGCACACACCAGACCGCGGAAGTTCCAGGAGTTCGCGCCCCCTGGACCATCCAACATTCTTACCTGCACACATGCCCACTAGGACACACCCACTCAGATAAACAGGCACACACTGAGCCAATCCTTCCGGGAAATTCAGCACGCGCGTGGCCTGCAGCTGTGCTGGCGCTGGTACCCGCTGCTCTCCAGAGGTTAGCGATGCCCGTTCACCCTCCCCCACCTCTGGAGAACCGACGGAAACGGTCCTGAGAACTACAACTCCCAAGCACACCCTCCTCTTCCGGCGCACAGCCTCCTGGGACTTGTTGTTCTACCCAGAACCCTGATATCCGCCGGTCCCGGCTCCGGCCGAGGACTTCATGTCCCAGCATGCCGCGGAACCGCAAGGCCGACGCTCAGAGGGCATCCTGCAGCCTCTCCGGGCGCGCAGGCGCAGCGCCGCTGTTTGTCGGCGCCTGAGAAGGGAGGAGGTACGGTCGAAGCCGAGGCCGAGGCGGAGCTGACCAGGCTTGACTCCGGCCCAGAACCAGCCTCCAGTCCCGCGTCGACCGTAGGGCCCCAGAGTGGATGGAGAAGATCGAGCCCTGAGATCACCGCCATTCCGGTCGGCGCGGTGGCCACACAGAGCAGGCAGTCAGGCGTGCCTAAGCTGCCCAGGGTCTTCCCTCAGATCCCCGGCGAGGGGCCTAGGCCCCGGCCCCGCGACCAGGCCCGGCTCTGCTCTTTGGGACTGGAGTCGACCCGACCGGAAGTGGAGCTTTCACCGGGGCCATAGGCCAGTGACTAGGTCGGACCCGGGCCTCCCGTCGGGGCCGGACTGGGACGAGGCCCCGGGGAGGCCCCTAGCCCACTAAACCCTTTCCTAAGGCCGACGCCCGCCAGGAAGATGCAGCGCGCCCTACCGGGCGCCCGCCAACACTTGGGGGCCATCCTGTCCAGCGCCAGCGTGGTGGTGAAGGCTCTGTGCGCTGCGGTACTATTCCTCTACCTGCTGTCCTTCGCCGTGGACACGGGCTGCCTGGCGGTCACCCCAGGCTACCTCTTTCCACCCAACTTCTGGATCTGGACCCTGGCCACCCATGGGCTGATGGAACAGCATGTGTGGGATGTGGCCATCAGCCTGGCCACAGTGGTGGTGGCTGGACGTTTGCTGGAGCCCCTCTGGGGGGCCTTGGAGCTGCTCATCTTCTTCTCAGTGGTGAACGTGTCTGTGGGGCTACTGGGGGCCTGCGCCTACCT